ATATATGTATTTGCATGTGTATATACAATTTTATTTCGCTTTATACAAACATAAATTATACATTATACAAACATAAATTTTACATTATATTGTATAATATGTGTTTGTATAAAGCAAGAAAGAGAGAAAGGAAAAAGAGAATTGGGTAAGGGAATATTTGTATTGTATAATTATTAGTGTATAGGACGAAGATATATGTATTTGCATGTGTATATACAATTTTCTCTCGCTTTATACAAACACAAATGCACTTTATACACTTGCGTTTGTATAAAAAACGAGAGAGGCGAGGGAGAGAATGAGAGTGGCGAGCGAGATTCACCAGGAGAGAGGTGAAATAACAATAGTTTGCTATGAGGTACAATTAAATCAAACTATATTTATAGCATTTAATTTGAATTAATAGTTTGCTATTATATACAATTTTCCCTTTTTTAAAAGAGTTTTATTTATGCGATTAGGTTGATTGGAAAAATCAAACTCTCCACCTTATAATAGAAATGATCTTTATGCTTTTATCAATAAACAAGAATTATTATTCTATAAACAATAAATATTTTTTTTCTAATTATCATATTTAATATAGCAAAGAGATAAAACCTGATAATATTCTTCGAGAGGCCATTGTTGACGATAGACAAAAAAATTAATACAAACAATATCAAAAGTGAATGCTTTGTAATTCATGGTTTCAAAAAGCTATGGAGGAGAGGGAAATATATGATGTGTTTTTTGTTTAAATCAATAATAATCTTATATAAAAATTTCCTCAAGAGAAAAATAAATACTTCAAACGTGTAGACTAAATCCTTTAGAAAATTCTCACTTCGTTTATAACCCATTTTATGGTTCTTGACTTTTGAAGTCTTCCTTGGACTAAACATTTATGACACTTTAGTTTTTGTTTTTTCATTCACGATTCAGTATCTATATTAAAGTTCGATTGATTTTAAGTTCGTATTGTATAGGCATACTCATTCGAGAAAAAATATTTTTTATCAAATTTTTTTCTATATTTAAATTTTTAAATCAAAACCTCGAGACAATCTCATTTATTACACCACAACCTTTGTGATTCATGACACTTTGGTCTACTCTTAAGTCCTCTCATGCTAATATATTGAACAAGTCAATACTCAATTAGACTTTTTTTTTTGCAAGAACATGTACAATATATAAAGTGATTTTATAATTTGTTTGGCCAATTTTTTAGAAATTAATAATGTTTTTTTTCTTTCATTTTTTTTTTACTTAGTTTAGAGAGTTGAAATTTTTTTTAAAAAATAATTTCTACACAACAGCAGAAATTATTTTTCATAAGCAGAGTTAGGGGTGTTCATGGATCGATTTGGATCGGTTATTGGTCAAAACCAAAATCAAACCAACTTAATCGGTTTTAAAATTATCAAAATCAAATATAATATACATTTATCGGTTTGGTGGTTATCAGTTTCGGTTTGGTTTGGTTTGGTAATTAATCATACACAAAGATAAAAGAAACAATTCATTCAAAATGTGAAAAAAGTGACAACAATCCATTCAAAACGAAAAATAGTTAGAATGACTTAAATTACTGATCTTTCGATCACTAAATTTACTATCAATAAAGCTTTAAAATTCACTAAATTGGCCTAGAAGGAAGAGACAATAACATTTTCAGTTCCACAAAGAATTGTCATAAGCACTCATATATATGAAATCAATAAGATAAATATTTTCATATTGGACATTTTTGCTTTCAATAAGTATATTATAAAGAAATTTTAATGAAAATATATATAAGATCTTTAAAGTTGTTCATAAAAATAATATATTAAGTATGTATATTAATAAAATATATGTATATAATTCATTGATTCGGTTATTTCTTCGATTTTTTCGAATAAAATCATAACCAAACCAAATACTATCAGTTTTCGAAAAATCTAATGCCAAACCAAACCCAAATAAAATTGGTTTTATTTTATTGATTTGGTTCGATTTTTCGGTTTGGATCAGTTTTTATCCAAACCATGAACACCCCTAAGCAGAGTAAATTATTTTTAAAATTTTTTGTGATCTTAAATTAAAAATGTATAAAATATATCATCTTTATAAAACATAATATAACAAAAATTATTATTTTATTGACAAATAAAAAAAAGTACTCCCAAGTCCTATGGAGTCTTCATGACAGTTGATTTGGTCAACTTATAGCGGTCTTCTCAAGTTGTGTAGTTTAGCTCCAATTATATTACAATTGGGCCACAAAGATACCATTGTTTAACGATCATTCTTTTTATCGGAGACTTTCTAATAACAAAACTTTAATCTTTCCATCTTTGTCTATTTAGTTCAAGTTTTTATTAATGTGCTCGTCTGCGAACTATACTAATTCTGTAGAGTAATGGCTTGCATCGGCATGTCTTGTACTTGTTCGTATATGTAACATTTAAATATTTCAAAATGCAAATAAGTTTGTTTGTTTTTTTTTTTGGTAATTTTTTTATATATTTTTAAAAATATTTGAAATTATCAGTTATTTAATTTATAATATATTTTATATAATTCAAAAATATAAATTTATTTTAAATAATTTATTTTTTTCATAGTCAAATTCACGTAATTTGGAACAAAGGGGGTACTAATTTTTGCATTTTAATTCTTTTTTTTTGTTCATATTTGATTTCCTACCCTCTTTTGTTATTGTATTTATATAGCTAAATTAAATATGTATATTAAAACTAATAATAAAGTAGATGAGGTACGATATTATTAATATATTGAATTGATTCAAAAGTACAACATGTTGAACGAAAAGAATAAAAAGAACCTAAAAATTGAATTCGTCGAAGTTTTTTTTTTTAACTCAACTTCACCGTCAAAATACATTCTCCAAAGGTAAAGGGATGTTTGTCTTGAATTGAATACGTCTCTAGAGTCTCATAAAATTTTGATATTTATGTAACATTTTGAAATAGTCGCTCTGTCATAAAAAAAAATTATCATTTTTTTTTATTTACACACCTCATAAAGTAAAACATCAATTAGGAGAACGTTTAAGTATTTTATTCTTATTTATATTCTAAAATATAGTCTTTCTTCATTGAATATATTTAATTTATTTATATGTCATAATTTATGTGTTTATAGTTTTTAAGAATAATTACAATTAAAGACAATCAACCTGAGAAAAAAGTCTTAATTTTATTTTAAACTTCTAAAATATCAATATTTTAAATAAGTACAAGTAGTATTTTGAGCGTAAACAGTATAAAAAGGACCATTCACAATAGAAAAAATTGAAATATTTTGTATGGTATCCTCTTTTGGGAGATAATTTAATGAAATAAAATGTACCCATCTAGTACAAAGTGGAGTTCTAAAGTTTATAAACCATCTATTTATTTATTTAATTAATTATCTAAAGCATTGGTAATAATAATACTACATAATTTATTGATCATTTTAACATATCTTATAATTCTTGCAGAGATCCCTGTTTACTTGACGACGTATACAATTTTCTAATTCTTGTCGATCCATTCCACTGCATGCCGTTGGGGTTGCTGCAAAATAATAATAATAATAATAATAATAATATAATTTTTGTTGATGGTAGGATTCAAACCCATAACTTAAGCCTGAAAATTTTCACGATCCTTTTTTGCTATCGAACTGTCAATCAGTTTTGTTAAGGGGTTCACAAGATAATATAGTCAATAGATGTATATTTTATTTAATTTTCTAATACAAATAGAGGGTCAACAAACCCCCACTTAATTCCGCCCCTGCTCATATATGATATATCTTCTCACAAAAAAATTACTTATAAAATCTTGTGATTTTTTAGTTAGTAGTTTTATATTTAAATTAATATATATATATTTTTATTTTTTTTAAAGAATATTCCACTAAGATCTCGTCCCGTTTGTCCGGTCCTTTTAGTTATTGGAGAGCCATACAAAAAGAATGAGACTATAAATGCGTGAATTCATATTTAGTCGAATTTAAATATAAACACAAGATATCGAGTGAAAAATCGAAAAAAATTTAAAAAGATATTGGAGAGAATTTTACCAGGGGGTGGGTGTATAACAACATGTTATGGGTGTGGATCAGTTGCTGAATGATCTGGTCTGGAGGAGTGAGGTCGCATTGGAATTCCAACATGCTCTGTTATAAAAGAAAATTAAATTAAATTCAATCATATAAATTTAATTTATCTAACTTGATAAGTAATTTAAATTTATTATATAGATTCTCGAATATTGAATAGCTTCCTAAATTTCCGGTATCAGATCCCGTCCCGTATGTCCGATCCTTTTAGTTATTGGAGAGCCATACGAAAAGAATGAGACTATAAATGTGTGAATTCATATTTAGTCGAATTTAAATATAAACACAAGATATTGAGTGAAAAATAAAAAAAAATTAAAAAGATATTGGAGAGAATTTTACCGGGGGTTGGGTGTATAACAGCAGGTGATGGGTGTTGATCAGTTGCTGAATGAGCTGGTTTAGAGGAGTGAGGTCGCATTGGAATTCCAACATGCTCTGTTATAAAGAAAATTAAATTAAATTCAATCATATAAAATTAATTTATCTAACTTGATTTTATTATATAGATTCTCAAATATTGAATAGCTTCCTAAATTTTTGGTATCAATTTTTGCTACTCAATTGCAACAAACAATTGTTAAAAAGGAATAGTGACAACAAATGTGAGTTGAAAATAAAAGATTTGGTGGTTGGCAAATTGGTAAGATTTGCAACTTACTTTTGAAATTTGTTACATTTGTATATGTCATTAGTGCCATAGGCATGGTTTTCTCCTTCTATAAATAGAGCATTCTTGCTCATTTGTAGAACACACTAATTTAGAGAGAAAAAATTATTTTGAGAGCAAAGTGAGGTATTCCATAGACTATACAAGAAAAATAGTCTGTGAAGAAAAATAGAGTGTGAGCGATATTTTAGTAAGGTGAAAATCAAAAGAGTGTTATTCATTTTGAATGTGTAGTAGTCACTTTGAGTATTGTATTCGTGACTACATAGTGTAAAATTTCTTACTATAGTGATATCAGTTGCTTCTCTTGGCCCGTGGTTTTTCCCTTGTTTAGAAGGGTTTCCACGTAAAATTCTTGGTGTCATTATTTTCCCACTTTATTTTTATCATTTGACCATATATGTTTTTGTGTTAGTCCGCGTTTTCCCAACAAACTGATATCAGAGCCAAGGTTGTATCTGAGTATGCTCTGTGGTTGCAGTACAGTCTGAACTTCCACATCAGAAAAGATTTACTTTGGTTTGCAATAACTATTTTTTTGGGGGGAAAATGATGGAAGCCAACACAAGTAGAATTGTTACTTTGAATGGTGTTAATTATGCCATTTGGAAGGGGAAAATGGAAGATCTGCTTTATGTCAAGAATTTTTATCAACCAATCTTTACCACTGTAAAGCCTAATAATAAAACAGATGAAGAGTGGAATCTGTTGCATAGACAGATTTGTGGATTCATTAGGCAATAGGTTGACGATAATGTGTTGAACCATATTTCTAGGGAGACACATGCTCGAACCCTATGGGAGCATCTTGAAAGTTTGTATGCTCGGAAAACTGGCAACAATAAAATGTTCTTAATAAAGTAGATGTTGAGTTTAAAGTATCATGATGGTTCTCCGATGATAGACCATCTGAATAATTTTCAGGGGATCATGAACCAGTTATTTGCTATGGACATTAAATTTGATGAAGAAATTCAAGGCTTGCTTCTACTTGGTTCCCTACCAGACTTTTGAGAACCATTTAGAACTTTATTGTTAAATTCTACTCCGGATGGTGTAATCTCAATGGATTCTGCCAAGAGTAGTGTCTTGAACGAAGAGATAAGAAGAAAATCCCAAAGTTCTTCTTTGTCGGATGTCCTGATAACTGGCTCCAGGGGGAGAAACAAAACTCGTGGTTCTCAGAATAGAGAACAAAATAGGAGCAAATCTAGAGGCAGGCTTAAGGATATTGAGTGCTATCATTGTGGCATGAAAAGGCACGCAAAGAAGTTTTGCAGAAAGTTGAAGAGGGAGAACAAAAACAAAGAGGAAACTAAAGAAGATGGCAATGAAAATTGCCTAGCCACCGTCACTATCGAAGATCTTATTACCGTCCTTGATGCAGATATGATAAATATTGCTTGTGATGAGTCAAGTTGGGTTGTGGACATTGGTGCCGCATCTCACGTGACATCAATGAAGAATTTTTTCTCTTCCTATACTCGTGGTGATTTTGGAACTTTGAGTATGGGTAATGAGATTGTTTCTAGGGTGGTTGGTATTGCTACAATTTGTTTGGAAACTAGTGTTGGAGCTAAACTAGTTTTGAACAATGTAAAACATGCTCATGATGTTCGTCTGCACCTAATTTATGTTGTGTTTTGGATGATGAAGGATATGTTAGTACCAACGGTGATGAAAAATAAAAACTCATTAAGTGTTCCTTGGTTGTGGCTCGTGGTAACAAACGTCATGGTCTATACTGGACTACGACTTCTGCTTGTGTCGATATGGTAAATGCGATTGAGAGCAATGACTCTTCAACATTATGGCACAAGAGGCTTAGCCATATCAACCAAAAATGACTTAATGTTCTAACCAAGAAGAAATTATTGTCAAATTTTAAAAGTTCTAAATTAGCAAAGTGTGAGCACTACTTGGCTGATAAACAAAATAGAGTTTCATTTAAGTCTTACCCACTTTCAAGAAAGACAGAGTTGCTTGACTTGATGCACTCTGATTTATACGGTCCAATGAAGTCAAAGACATTGGGTGGTGCACTCTACTTTGTCACTTTTATTGACGACTGCTTGAGAAAACTTTGGGTTTATGTCTTGAAGACTAAAGACCAAATCTTAGGTGTCTTCAAGCAGTTTCAGGCCTCAGTTGAAAGAGAAACTGGAAAGAAACTGAAATGTATACGTATTGATAATGGTGGTGAATATTGTGGACCATTTGACGAATACTGCAAGCATCAAGGTATTAGACACCAAAAGACTCTTCCTAAGACTCCTCAGCTTAATGGTTTGGCTGATAGGATGAACAGGACCTTGATGGAAAGAGTTAGATGTTTGCTTTCTGAAGCAAAGTTGTCGAACTTATTTTGGGGTGAGGCGTTATTGACCGCTGCACATGTTATTAATCTATCTCCTGCTGTTGCTTTGCAAAGTGATGTTCCATATAGAATTTGGTATGGAAAGGATGTTTTCTATGATCATTTGAGAGTATTTGGTTGCAAAGCTTTTGTACATGTGCTGAAAGATGAGAGGTCAAAGTTGGATGCCAAGACAAGGCAGTGCATCTTCATTGGATATGGCCTTGATGAATTTGGTTACAAGCTATATGATCCAATTGAGAAGAAACTTGTGAGAAGCTGTGATATTATTTTCATGGAGAATCAAACAATTTAAGATATTGACAAAGCAGAGAAGCTAGAATCTTCAAGTTTTTATGGCATAATTCATCTAGATGAAGTTCCTTACGCAAGTATGCATGATGTTGTTGGGCTTGATGATCACGGTGACGCCCATAATCATGTATCGAATCAACATGTTGATGTTGTTAATAACAATGATATTGTTATTAATAATCCTTATGCTCATGAAGTTGTGGACGAATTAAATAATTTGCTTAGGAGGTCCACAAGACAGCGGGTTCCTTCATCTCGTTATTCACCCAATGAGTATGTGTTACTCACTGACGGGGGCGAACCTGAATGTTATAAGGAGGCCATGGAAGATGAGCACAAGGATCAATGGATTGAAGTCATGCAAGATGAAATGATGTCTCTGCATGAGAACCACACTTGCGAATTGGTAAAATTGCCCAAGGGCATGAGAGCTTTGAAGAACAAGTGGTGTTCAAAGTTAAAGTTGAAGAACACAACTTGAAGCCAAGGTACAAAGCTAGATTGGTTGTTAAGGTATTGTGAATTCAAACATAGAAGTTTTAAATTTTTTGAAATAAAATCAAGTATATATTTGGAAACAATGTACTCTAAATCACACTAATTAACCACGAAAGTTATATGGCAATCTTACAAGATATTTTTCCAAATAAAGGTGATTGTTTAACTTTTTGCAAAAAAAATAGTTTTTCATACTCCAAAAAAATACTCCCTCCGTCACATTTTATGTGGCACCATTTTCTTTTTAGTCAGTCCAAAAAGAATGTCGCATTTCCTAATATGATAAGTATTTAAAGGTACAATTTCTTTTTTATCCTTGTTGGTTTCATTTAATCATAAAATAATACTTCAATACATTTATGAAGAGAAAGAAAAGTCAGTCTACTTTTTAAAGAAAAATTTGATAAACATTTCAAAGTCTTCATTTATTTCTTAAATTCTGTGTCCAATCAAATGTTATTACATAAAATGGGACGAAGGGAGTAACTTTTCACAAAAAATCACTATAAAATTTAGATCATCTATCAAATAAATCATATCATAAATCATAACTAATATATGAATTTAAGCTTCGATAGACAACGGGAAGATATTTTTAGGTACTCACCGAACTCCAGGTGGCCGCCGGGAAGTGCAAAGGTGCTATGGCCGACGGCGGAGAGGCGTTTCCCCAACAGAACTTTACTTCCTTTTAAAAGAAACACCGCTACGCCGACTTTTGGCATCGGAGGTGATGGTGGCGTAGTGGTGGCCGGTGTTTGCTGAGCGCCGTTTTCCATTTCTCCGGCACCGGGATAAATTCAACGGGAAGGCGGAGATTGCGTGTGGAGTATTTTATTTATTTGAAAATTTTGTAATTGGGTCCCGCCACTAGTAAAGTAGGCCCAATAGTAAGAAGCTCTTGGGCTTTTTTAGACAGACCAGCCCATTCAAACTTGTGTGGATGGGAGGTTTGCACAAATAGACTATTTTGGTGTCATTATTTAAATCTTAACCTCATTTTAATAATTCGTATATAGGGAAAATTACTTCAATACACAATTTATTTTATCATATTCTTTAAAATTTTCTACCATTTGAAAAAATCACAAAAATTCCTACTCTCTCCTATTATCGGATATATCACTTTACGCGATGTATTGTGATGTATACGAAACTGAGACGCAATGTATCAGGAGGTTGAGCGATGTATTCGAAATTGGGATGCGATGTATCGAGATATTTTGGAATGTATTCGGATTCCACCAAATTTAAGGGATTTTTGTAATTTAGAAAAGAGTATAAATATGATATAATTAGCTCTTAACACTATAAGATTTGTGTAAAATTTCCTAAAAAGAAACTTTTGGATCATCTTACGAGTCTTAACGGATCGTCACAAGTTCAAATGGATGCAACAAAAATAAAGAAAAACATGTTCGATGGCATGTGTGCATGCCCTCATGAGCACGATATTTGTCAAGTATTTTCTTGCCCTTTAAAATCTATTGACTCAATCAAAATTCGTCTAAATAAAATTTACTAACAAATTTAAGAAACAATCGATGAATGTAGTTAACCGTTTAGGAAATCTACATTCTTTATTCCTCATAATTTGGGAACTTTAAGTAGTGGGAAAAAAAAAGGGATACCAAAAAGGGGATAGAGGAAGAAGATTTTAAATGGCCTTGATATAAATATATACCATTCAATATTATTACATGAACTTTCACTGAATAAAGAAGTTTATTGTTAACAATTTAGCGTCAATCTAATAACTAATTAAATGAGTTATAAAATTTAATAATACATTCAAAATTCATAAATTTCAAATTCTAACTGCGACTTGCTCTATTGTTATAACTTCAAGTTAGGGTACTATGGTGCGTTTACATCTTTCACCTAAATTGCAGCGTGGGACTGTTGGAGTAGAGTTTATACAATTGCCATACACTTCCTCGTTGCATACCGAATTTCTTTTTAATGCACTATTTATACGTGGTTTTGCTGCAATTTTAACTTTAAAAAAACGATTATTATTTTTCGAAATCAAATAGAATAACACTTTTCTATTTCTAAAAATAAATTATAAGTTTCTCTTTAGACATTTTATGACAAGTTTTATAATCATAATTCACAAATATCTCATCATATGATTCGTACTCACGACCACAAAGTATTAGAAATCATCAAAAAAAAGTTCTTTAAACATTGTGTCTAATCAAATAACTTTACGCAAATTAAAAAGGATCCCTGTATTTTGTGTCGGTCTTTAATGATTGTCCCACGAGGTAAAAAAGAATCGTAAGATATAAATTTATATTTTTACATAATAATAGTTTATATATTATATTTCGCGCTCTTTAATAACTTTTATTATGTAATAAATGCAAAAATTAAAATTCAACTTATTTAAATGATAAAAAAATAAAAATGAACTCATTTGAAAGAAAAATTATGCAATTAAATGAAAACAAGACTACATATGTGCATGAACTAATTTGCCACACATATTAATAGTAGTTCGCATTAGGGGATGCGAAGTTTTAAAAATTAAAATTAAAATATTTGATTCTCAAATTTTGAATTGTGACACGTAAATTGAAAAAAGGTTCAAGCAAAAGTTTACCAGGCGGTGGTTGGGTAGTTGCTGATCCATCTGGTTTAGGTCGGTGAGGTAGTGATGGCATTTTACTATTTCCCGGACCTGTTATTAAAATAGAGTTTATATATATATATATATATATATA